GTTAATATCTGGTGATATATGGGTTAATAATGGTTCATATCGCTACAGTGATTTTTGGGACGCCTCCAAATCTTTAGTTTGGAAAAATCGAAGGTGAAAAATGGGAGGACGAGAATCCCTAAGAGTTGGTTCTTGTAATGTGAGAGGCAACCTTGAGGCAACATAGCTGCTCTTGTGGAAACTGCCTTGTTATTCGTAAAACCCAACGTTTGATGGTTAAATCAGCAAAAAAAGGTAACAAATCCAATTAATCAAACTCTGCAGTTTTCTTGGTCGCTTAAACAAATAGAATCACAATTTGGATATGGATCAAAAACCTTGTAGCCTGGTGAACCCCAAAATAGCTGGTGGATATTCATCCTAAATAGGCTATTCTACAGGTTTTAATCAATAACCATATAGTCTCCATTAGCGGTTGGTGGTTTTAACCATATTGAAAAATATGAAAGTCAATGGGAAGGATGACATCCCATATATTATGGAAAATATTATCCCATATATTATGGAAAATAAATGAAAATAATACACATTTGAAACCACCAACCAATATATATATATATATCTCGTATCAATCCTGTACCCATTCTATCCGCGTCCCATCTTTCGGCGTCCTGCCAAGCCAACATGCGCTGAGTGGTAACAAAGTTAAGGCCCACAAGCGGCGACGCGCCATTGGCGAACGGATCAGCTGTGGATTCCCAGTGTCAATGGATGGGTTGAAAGGAATATCAGGAAAATTCTTAACATCGAACATAGTTTCTTGCAAACTGTTTGTTGAACAAAGTCCGGCATGATCAGAAATGGTACAGCCTATATTAGCAAGGGCAACAAATCGTCTTTGGTATGGCTGAACGATGACTTCAGTGGCTTTCAACAAACCAAAAAAAACCTTAGAGGAATACCCTGGTTCATATTTCCACAGAAACATGGGTATATCACTAGCAACCTAGGGGGCTTTGAGAAAAATCCATGGAGGACCTGGGGTGCGACGAGTTTCATGGCACCAGCCTCTTTATTTATCCTGTCCATGTCTTGCTAAGTTCAGCTGTGGAGTTTGAAGATCAGATTCACCAGATTCACCATGGCAGGATCTAGCAGTCAACAAGGTTGGTGTAAAAAAACACATGTTTTCCCCACACGATGGACGGGCCCCCTTGTCCAAGTTGATTTATCACCCCAAACTATAGATATACCCAACATAAATCAAAGTTATTCTATAACTATAAATCCCCAGTTAGAAGGATGGTGCCCCCTGTTTATAGTTAGCCCAGTGCTCCCCCGTCTTTTTCCCAAACCGCCCGCATTACTATACAAGCAAATTCTATGGGGTTAATACCAAAGACAGGGGAGCAACACCTTACAGAAAACAATAACATAAATCATAACAACAAAACAACAAAACCAAAAAACTCAAACAACATAAGCAATAAAATAGACTATAAAAAAAGACTATACCATAAACCATAACAACATAAGCATAACAAAGAAGAACAGACAAAAACAAAGCAACAAAACAACAAAATCCTAACAACCTACTATTAATAAAACCAATAACATAAACCATAACAAGCTCATCATATCAACCCATCTCATCAATCTCATCCGTAAAAATTATATAATATAATCATCATAATTGTATTGAATAATTTTCAAAGCATATATACATATATACATCATCTTACCATATCTATTTCATAGGTGTTATTTCTAGAAATCATAATTGCTAGAAATAGTCCTAGAAAATAATTGCAACATAAATTTAATAGAATTATTTTATCAAATTGATGTGGAAAACCAACATAATTTTCATATTCATTTATTATGAAGATTATGGGATTAATTACCACAGTCTCCCCCTATAGGGAAAGCCTCAGCCCCCAGCCAATATACTATCCCACCTCCCAGCATATATGCCAGCATACATACAAGCAGCATCACATCTTTCTCAATCTCAAATCTCTTCTATTACCGCAATTGCCAAACCCAAGCCGCCCGCCCTTCATGAACTTGATGATGACCATGTCTTCTTAACCTCAGCGCGATGTAAATGACACAGCAATCCAAACTTTTGGGGCGAAATGGAGTGAAAAAGATTTGTGTGGTGTCCGTCCAGACTTGTTGGTGCCAGTCTTCCTATCAGGCATGAATGCGCTGAATGTCAAGCTTGTGAAGGCTCACTGGCATGAATGCTCTATTGAAACAATGCCTACCTACATTCAGAACTTTTCAATAATTCAAGGATCTGCTCAGCACACTATTTGGCAAGTCAGTCGCCCTGTTGGCGAAACAAACCTTCTCACGCACCTTCTTCGCTCCAAAAATTGGCGGGCAACTGGTGTGATGCCTGGTCTGATCTTCATCTGTAGCAGCATTGTTTAAAGCGGCAGCACTCCATGTCATCGCAGCATTTAAAAGTGGGTGCCTCGGTCAAATTTGCCTCAATGCCTGTGCGATTGGTGTCTGCAGCTCCAGCGCTCAATGCAAGGATGATGAGGCAAGCGAAGAGAATGGATTTGAGCGCCATGATCATGCCCACACCCCTAAGCTAAAAAGCGTTCCCGAGTGGTTTGAGCAAGAGATGCTGAGAAATGACACAAAATTCCAAGCTCAACCTGAAAGAGCTAATTTCTGTAGCTTTCCAATTGAGAATGTCAAAGGTGCTCAAATTGAAACAAATTCCGAGGCCAAGCTCTCCAAGAACATGTGGCTTCAAACCTCTGACTGGCATATTTCCAACAGCTGAGCGCCCCGACAACAGGATGCAGAAGAGATTGATGAGGAAGCCATGACGGGGCAGAAGGACAAAGGAACATAGAGTAATCCCAGCCAATGACCCAAAAGTGCCAAACACAAATTCGTGGGGAAAACAAATGAAGGGCAAAACACAAAACCCCGAAACCAAAAGAGCACAGAAAATCAACCATCTGATGGGGAAAAATGCTTACAAGGCTTTCTAAAAACACTAAATCTTTAAAAGTTCGTGCCTCATCAACAATCTTGGGTAATCAGTTAATTTGCAATATTTTTGGTTCAACTTTTCTGCAATCTCTTGCACAACATAATAACCTTTCAGCCAGTGGGAAGTTCTTTCTTTCTCTGTAATTGCTTTCTTTCTCATTATCTTTACTCGGTCTCCTACTTCTAAAAAAGGGCATATTCTTTCCTTCTTTGCTTTTACTGAAACAGTAAGTTTCGCTTTAAACTCATTCCTTTCTTTCCTTGCTTCATTTGGGGTTAGTCCAGTAGCACTATGGACGTCCTTGTTGTTGTATGTTAGTAAAATCTCGGTTATGTAATCTATCCATTGAATATTATGCTTTCCCTTTTTCTCATCATTCTCAACCCGTTTAAAAAGTTTATCCTTAAATGTCCTAATAAATCTTTCAGCGAAGGCTGGATGACCTCTAGTTCTATAAAGTTCAATCCCTTCATCTTCTACTAGTTGCTTGAAGTCAGCACCACTTATACTACCTTCATCATCAGTGTATATGATTTTTGGTTTTGCTCTCATCTTTTCTAGCCCTTCCATTGTTCCAGCGATGACATCGGCTGGGTTTTGCTCTTAATATGGACTACTACAGCATATTTACTTAATACATCAATCATTACCAACCCAGCTCTAAACTTTTGTGTTGCCTCAATATCATTTTTTGAAATAAAAAACAAATCAAGTTGAAAAGTATGGTTGTTGTGGGGGGCTACAAAACTGTTCTGACCCCTTTGCTTTCTCTTAATCTCAACATTCTTTCTAAAAAAATCTTCAACATCTTTCATAGTAATAGTTTTATCTTTCTCTCTGGCATCTTTCAAAGTAGTAGCCTTGCTTCCATAGCCACTTCTATCAAAATAAATATCACTAATAATCGTCTGCTTATTACTCATATATTTATAATGATATCTTATTTGGAAAAGCACAATTACATTGAACACATATGCCTATACATTTATCCTTGAAATGCGCAATATCATTATCAACCCTTTGGCAACAAATATTTGATGAAACCTTGCCATGTTCAAAATATATCACTAATGGTTCATTACAATTTTCACACTGGGTATTCATCAGGTTCATCAAAAAATCTACATCAACATAACCCCCATCTTCTACATCTCTACCTGCTTTCTTATCTTGTTCTTCATAGTTCATAATTTTATTCTTAAAATATGTCTCTACTCTTACCTTACTCATATCCTTCTCATCAGCATCATATTTATAAAACTTAACTCTATTTGAATCTCTGGCTCTAGTAATTGCTGTCCAATACCAGTTCTTACTACGATACCATTTACTCCAATCATATATCACAATGTCATCATCCACTGAACAGCCTTGTTCGCTGTGGCAAGTGTAGCAGTAAGCATATATAAAATGCTTTCTTAACAACTTCAGTTCTATCCTTTGCTTCTCATTTGTAGCCACATTTTCTAAAACCACATCATTGCCAACAATATTCACAATCTTAAATTTAAAATTCACATTAAATTTCTTGCCTTTAGTCTTGATATATTTTCTACATATAACTTCCTCACCCACAACATATTCATCCTCTATGCCTTTCATTTTTCTCATTTTGCTACTCACCTCTCTACAAGTTTTATTAGTATAAGCAATGTTGTTTTCACATATCTCATTGCCCTCACTCCATCCAAAGTGCTTTTCAATGACATTAAGTATAGGTTCATTGTTCATAATCATACTCTTAATATCATAAAGTTTCTTTCTGTCTTCTTCAGTCTTCAACCTCTTACATTCATAAAGCATAATATTGTTTTCAAAAATCAAGTCTATACAATGATTAGCATACTTCTCAAATGACATTACATTGCTTACCCTCTCTGGGTTTTTCAACTGGTTAGTGTCTCCAGTTGCTAGTATAATCTTATCAGGGTTATTCTTACAGAAGTCCCATATCAAAGCCCACTTACCCACATTGTGGAAGATGATTTCATCAAAAACTATGACATCAAAACCAGAGTAATCAAACTTTCCTAGCCTCTCATCACCATAAGATATACCAAAAAACTTATTAATGGTCATTGCTTCTGCTCCACATTCTTGTTTCAAATTATTAGTGGGGACTACAAACAAGACTTTATAATTTCTGTCCTGTAAATGCTGACATATATAACTCTTACCTGTTCCGGGCACATCCCCTCTAATCATCAATCTCTTACTATTCAAAATATGCTCATCTATGATTTCGTCAGTGTTCCATCTATTTTTTTTTACTATTAAATTTCAACACCTCCTTTGCCTGACCTAAATTACATTTATCTATAACAAAGGCATCAGTTTTTACTGAATACACCTTGACACCATCCCTCATAAGTGTTTCATAAGCCTCATTCATATCAAAATTATGATGTTGTAAAATCAGTTCTTTGATAAACCTATATCCATTCATCAAAGTTTTTGTATCGGAAATGTTTAAAACATAATGCTTACATTCATCAACAATTACGGGAATATCTTTCTCATTAATCATAGGTTCAATGACATTACCTTTATCATCAAATTCAAGCAAACAATCATCATCATTATCATTCACTTCACCATCCCATTTAGTTTCAGTAATGATACTTATATCACCACCGTATTTTTCTTGACAATAAAAGGCATCAACCATTTTTGAAAACACTATTGACTTTTTAGCAGTGTTAGTTTGTTTTTCTAATAGACCAATGTTGATACAAGCAATC